CAGTGTTGTCCAAATGCTCCTTGAACTCACGGCAGCTTGGGGCCATGCCCACTGCCCCGGGGAGTTCGTTCCATAACCTTCCCTTTTCTTTTTGTAGTTACACTTGAGAGGTCTTCCTGGATGACCCTGGAATACACTCCAGTAGAAGCCTGAAACCAACACCTTTAAGGAAAGAACCTCTGAATATACCTCACTTGGGCCGTAAGCCTGAAGAGGTGACAATAGCATCAAAATTTTTTGCTGTTTTACTGCTGAGTCAAAAACATTCAATGACCTTAGTCATACTTATTAGAATGAAGATTCTTATGAGTCCATCAGTCCCTTAAAATTACTGGTGTCCTGATCTGATTGCAAATCTTGAAAAATCTTGATGCAGATATACAAAGGTTTGTAGTCTGCTGAAACTTAAAGTAATGTGAGACACTTCACGTAAACCAAAATGAAATAGTGTTGTATGTGATATCAACATCTGTTATACTGAGTCATCAGTTTTTAAATTTATTGGAAGCTGACAAAGTGTCAGTATTTTTGGATCTGTACTATAAAATGTCCATAGGAGGTGCTCGGTTGCAAGAGGCACAGTATCAGCAGATGAAATGTGAAGCGGAGAGCTAAGAAACTAGCCAGCAAAGAATACTTTCACTGGGCCAGGTTGACTGAGCCAGGTAATGTCCCTTTTCTTTGGTTGTTTATCACACTGTTTAGCTGGAACTCAGTTTAACTACTTGATTCCCTAGAAACTGCTGCCTTCCCGCATCCATTTAACATTTCCCTCCAATACTTCTCTTTGTTCCTCAGGTTCCCAGAAAAGTGGGATTCCCCTACCCACTTTTCAAGCATATATCCCATTCCTTTCAAAGTGACATCAGATTTCAGTTTCTCCCACCCTTCTGTAACACTGTGCTTAGAGGCCTTCCATCAACTCCCAAAGGAAACCACGGACAAAATGTGTGCAGCCTCACTTCTGCTACATATTCTTAGCCATGGATGGCCCTGAGTATATATTCAAGTACTGAAAAAGTTACTGATAAGAAGTTCTTTTGACCCTAGCTGAGGCTGATGGGCAAGGAACTTTTCAAGCATTCTGTGACACATCATTTTCTCCATTAGCACAACATGCATTGCCACCTACACTGTATTGAAATTTCATAAGTTGCATGCAGACATTTCAAGTCTTAAGGACTTTTTTCCCGGGGTCAGTTGCAGCTTCGTTTTTTTTGTCTTTTGTTGTAAGTATACTCTTCCCAAGCTTCAGCCAGTTGTACTGTTTTTGTTTTTGTTTTTCCTAGCTCTTTGCTGTCTTTGTATGCTACTGCAAACAAAATGTGAATTTGTTACGTAATCATATACGGATATTTCAGAAAATATAATAACTAAACCTCATTTAATAAATTTAGTACAATTTCTAAGAAAAACTTCAGTAATTATCATATTGTATCACAGGAGAACTGTGCTTTACAACAGGCAGTCTGACAGGTCACGCAACTGCATGCATGTCCAAGGCTGAATTATCTCAGAGATAGGTCTAGAAAGACAGCCACCTGGAGAGATGACATCTAATCCATTTCTGGAACAGAAATCACTTTTGGTCAATGTAATGTCCCTAAGTAAGTCTGTTAGCTAAATGAGTGATTAGTTGCTTGAAAGTATAGATTAGAACCATGAGTAATCTCCCCGATGACATTGTTTTTCTGAAATTGGTTAGCCACAATTTAATGACTTTTCAATAACACCCTTAGGCTAATCTTTTTTTCACTTCAAAAAACCCAATAAACATCTGTAACTACTTACATCCGAGCATGTTAGTCAAAGCTTCTCTGGCGAGGCGTTAGCTTAGGAACAAGAGGGCAATTTATTTGGGCAGTAAGTCAAAAATAGTAAGCTGTCTGCACATCCTGTGTGCATGGGTTCAGAAGCCATCTAATGTAAGTAAATCTTAGTTTAGTGATCTGGTTAGAGAACTGATGATATAAAAGCTGCCAAATTAGATATTTAATTGGAATATATGGATAATGCCCATTCTCAGTGCATGTAAATGGACATAAGGATTCCTCACCACCTAGGTAGCTCACTACTTAGCTTCTCTATCCCATTCCACTTAAGTGGGAGTTATCCACCTTTATCTACAAAAACATGGGCAATGTCTCCAGTTGGACACATTTCTTTATGTTATGCTGAGTGGATTTTGTTCTTCCTAGTTTTTGCTTTCTCATATACTCATGACCTGCACTCCATCTTTGTTATTTTATGGTATTTATGAGTACAAGTTTGTGGCTTGTACAGCACTGTTACAAGGGAGTTCTAGAATTAGTAATGGCATAACGTGTTGCAGAACAGAGTTTACAGCTAACAACTCTTTCTGGCCAACTTGATAGATATGTAGATCTCTTTCTGTATACATATATGTATCTACAGCCCACATATCAATGATTTCACTCTGTTGCTTTCTCTGATCCCTTGGTAGCCACCAGGTGTTGCCTCTAACAGTATGCCATTCTTAGGTAATATAAACTAATTATAGTGTCTGTAGAATCCCCTACTACTTGCTGTGGAAATAAGAACTTCACCACATGTGTATTTGTTCAGTGACATTGAAAGTGCAGCTCCTAGGAAGCATACGTAGTGTTGATTAGATTGTAATGTATGCTTTATGTTCAATAATGCACTCTCGTAAAAACGCTCTTCAAAATTATTTAACTTCCCATGGCATAGTCTCAGAAGGAACAAAAAAAAAAAAAAAAAAGCACCAGTGCTACAGTGCTACCTTTTCCTGTCACATGACTAATGCAAACAGCAGAAAAAAATCTTATCTTTTCATTTCTTTTCTGGTACTTTTTAAAACAGCTCACCGGTTACTGCCCAGACATTAAAGACTCCACTCGGAAAAGATGGATGTTACGTTTTCCACTCAACGTTAAATGTTTCCACTATATAACAGGAAAGCCTCAGTCATAAGGGCCTTCCAGCAGTGGCAACTGAGAATGTATTTTTCAAAAAAATCCTTCACTGCTGGGGACAGCAGTGCTATCTGACCAGAAGAGCCCTCTACTCTTGGTAGGATATGGAAAGTCCCGCTGGGACCTGGTAGCACTTTCCATGATGGGCACCTTTTGACTCAGGAGAATACATCTTCTGTATATAGCTGTACCATCCAATTGCATGTCCTGCAACAGCAGCTGTGATGAACTAATTGCAGTTTAATCTTGACCTGCCCATCATGTCAATAAAATTGCTTGATGCTTGTTTCAAACGTTTTAGGTATAGTTGAGTAATCAGTGTGCAGGCTACTTGAGAAATAGGTGCCATATAGATTATCCAACTTTGATCTATTTCTTTGATTTAGCACTGCAATTAAGTAGATTTGGTTCAAAGAGAAAGCTCATTGGTTGATGTTTTACACTGATGTGATAATGTTTACACAGATGTGCTTTGAAATCTCGATGATGGTGGATTTTTGGGTCCCACCACATGACAGGCTTCTGTTATCTGAAAGGTAAAATAATATAACATCTATCTGTAACTGCCTTCAGAGCAGGTCTGCCTGCTCTCTCTCTTCTGAGGTGATTTATCTGATCATTGTATTTTGCGTTAGCTTTTTTTAGTTTTAAGTCCCTCCACAGTAAATCACTTGCTTTAAAGCAGCCTTTTTATAATTCAGGTGCACACAGGGGCAGTACTTAGGACTGCAATGATGAAAAGGTGTAGCATTACCTGCTTTAAAGCACCTGCCAATTAATTAGCCCTATACTCTCTGCAGCAAATAAAGCTAAGCAGTCAAATCCATTTGATCTCTCAGATTCAGACTGCGACTGAAAGGACCACGGAGCAAGACCGAAGAACTAATCTTTCATGATTCTCTGCAACTTTTTTGTTTGCATGAAACCTTAGAATGCCAAGTAGCTCTCTCGAATTTCTGAAAGAATTAACTGTGAAAGATCTTTGCATTTTATATTCTAAACCTTTGCTTTAATATCAGCAAGAATTGCTTTGCGTAGCAAATGCTAAGACAGGCCATGTAGTTTGAGCCCTAGAAGTCATTAGATATTAAAGAAAAAGCATCAAGGTATGCAAAAGTCAAGTTTTTAGGATCAACACATTATTGCTTCATCAATGCTAATAATGAACGTATTTGCACTTGTGAACCATTTTGCTTTGGGTGAAAAAAATGCACAAGCTCTGGCTGCGAGCGGACAGCAGGACCCTAGATTGTTTCAAAACTACAGAAAGACACCAGTGACCCTTCAGGACTGGCATTATTGTTGCTTTGTGGTGCTCCCAGGTGCTGGTAATGAGCCTGCTGCAGGGCCGCAGCACGGATGGATAGGTTGAGCCACCTCTTGGTCCTTTTTCCTTCACGTCTGCGGGCTTTGAAAAGATTTCTCCCAAACCACTTTCCTGCCCATTAATATTTCTGAAGACTGATACCCAACTGCTATAGATCAGCTTCATGTCACGTTAATAAATTAAGTACGAGGGAAAATTTGCAGAGGGGAAAGCACCTCCCTGACTATGCCAATTTCTTTAAAAATTCCCCTCCTTGTTACTGAAGTGATAAAAGGCAAGGGTAACGCTGTGCATTTTATTAGCGTTTCAGAAACAGGGAGTAGAACTGTCAGATCTTTGTGCTTCTTTCCTTTCATGTGTGTCTGGGCAGGCCTCGCCCTCAGGTAACGCCCTTTCTCCCGCTTCCCCCCCCCCCCGCCTCTCCTTGCACCTGTCCCACGGTGCACAGCCCGCACACCCCAGCCAGGTTCTGGTGCCGGTCCCGGTGCCCTCCGCACCGCCCAGCGCCGTGCCCGCCTGCACACACGGGCGCACAGGTTCGCGCATACCTGCGCGTGCGGCGCAGCCCGGGCGGCAGGCTCCCGGCGCTCGCTGCTCCCTCCCTCCGTTCCCTCGCTCCCTCCCCGCCGCCGGGCAGATGGGAAGAAGGTGCGAGGTGAGGGGGAGCGGGTTTACAATTTCAAACGCGGCCTCCCCGCGGAGGGCTTCATTAGCATATGTCAGGGGGACCGCCGTATATATATATACACGCGGGGCGTATAAACACCACCCGCCGCTCTGCCTCGCATCGGCTCGGCTCCCCATGCTTGGGGCCCGGCCGCGAAGCCCTACATGCCCGCCGGGAGAGGCCGGCAGCCGCCCGCCGCCGCATCCTAGTCCGCTCGCTCCGCGCCCCCATGGCTCCGCTGGCCGAGGTGGGGGCCCTCCTGGGCGGCCTGGACGGTCTGGGGCAGCCGGTGGGCGCCCACTTCCTATTGCCGCCCGCCGGGGAGCGCCCGGCTCTGCTGGGGGAGCAGCGGGGTCCCGCGGAGCGAGCGGCGGCGGCGGCGGAGCTGGCTCACTTGCAGGGCATCCTGCGGCGGCGGCAGCTCTATTGCCGCACCGGCTTCCACCTGCAGATCCTGCCCGACGGCAGCGTGCGCGGCACCCGCCAGGACCACAGCCTGTTCGGTAGGTGGCGGGGGGGAGCGCGGGGCTCGGGATGTTTGAGAGTGCAAGCGGTTGGGTGCCTTGCCCAGCCCCTGCAGGGTGTCTTGCCCTGTCTGTGGGCACAGGGTTTAGGGGGCAGGTAGGAATGGGACCTAACTTTCTGTGCTCGTTTCTGGGGTACTTAGAGTCTTGGTAGGATAATGTATGCATAGTGGCCCTTTTGTGGCATGAGGCTGCTTTGTGGTACAGAAGGACAAAGTAGAGTACCGGGAGTTGCTCTCTCTGTCAGTAAACCAAAAAGAGGTGTTGAGCCCCAAAATATGAATGTTTCCTGTGATTTAAGAGCAAAACTTAAGGACTAGTTGTAGGAATGAAGCATCTGAACAAACCTGCCGTTGTCAACTGCACTCAAGTTTAGGTGTGTGTTGATTCAGCAGTCATAAAAAGCTGATTAAAGAGCTTCCTATTATCCTCCCCGCAGCCAAAACTATCTGCTGGAATGGCTCTTAATTGCTTAACACGTGGATGTTTTCAGAAGTAGAAGAGCAGCAGTTAAGCAGAGCTCTTCTCAGAAGGGAGATTTCCTACAGCATGTAAACATGAAATAAGTCTATGTTTAAAAAGAAAAAAAAAATTAGCCTCAGATCAAACACTTAAGCCTTTTAGAAATGTTCTTCCTTTATTCTACCACCGCTCTGTGCAGGTTTGTCTGATGTGGTTGCTTTGTGGCTGAATCACCTGCTTATTAGAGCTTAGAAAAAGAGTGGCTTTGAAAATGATACTAGAGAGACAAAACACCTCCACCTCTTTTATGGGGCTCTGTGCTTTAGGAACTGGAACACGAGGATGATTTATACACAATAGAGGTTGTTTTTTTTTAATGATCACTCTTTGTAAAGGATTTATGCTCTTTGGTCCTTGGTGAGGTAAATAAAAAACCTGCCAAACCTCAATTAAAATTCACAACATTTTAAATTATTGTGCAGTCCATCTGCCTTGCAGTGAAAAATGGTCCTGAATGAGAAAGAGTGATCATTACTACAGTAACAATAGACAAAAAGATGTGGTCAAAAGTAAATATGGTATTAACATCACTTTCCCTAGATGGGAGATTTTTTAAAAACTGGTTTGTGATTTTACTGCTCTATCTGCAGCAAGATCTTAGGTATGATTCCAGAACAGCTTATTTCTGAGGCTTTGTTTACATTGTTAACAACTCCAAAAAGCTTGTTCACGCGTCTCCTTTCTTTCATGTTTTATATGCACTGTAATCTGTGCATATCAGTTGGTTAAGTGGGCTGGCACACACTTGCCAAGATGCAGGCTTCCAATAGTGCCTCATCTCCTGAATACTTTCTCTTGTTAACGTGTATTACATTTTGGGGAAAATGTAGTATAAGTAATGCTATAATTCAAACACAACAAATAAGCACCTTATTTCAAGCACACGAAAAGGTGGCACTGAAGATGGCAGGTTGTGTCAAGAGGTGTGGACCCATACAGCTAGATAAGAGCTCTGGCAAATACTTTTTACTACCCCCACCCCTTCTTTTTTTCCTGTGGGTAGATTCTGTTATATAAAATTTCCATCTGGACTTCGATTTCTATTCAAATGGTCTAGTAATAGAAGTGTTTTTTTAAGATAATGCTATAGAGAAAGTAAAGTATATTTTCAGGTAATCCAAACCTATCTCCTGATGTTTGAGCAGGCAACTTGGCAAACAGCGTCTAATCACTATAGATTGCAGCCACATAGTACCAAAGGTTTTAGCCTGAGTGATGAATGAAAACCTTTCATCATAAAAATTAAGGGTGGGAAAAAAAAAAAAAAAAGGTTTCTCCAAATAAAGCAGGATTCTTTTACCTGGATGAGGCTTCTCAGCCTGCTTTCATGTGAACATTGTATGTGTTTCCATATGGTAGTAGAAGTTTCAGAAAAAGTAGGTCATATTATATACACATATTCCATGTATATTTTTAAAATGATTTTATTCATTTTTGTCACAAGTTCAATTAAAATAATCTTTTTTCTCTCTCTTTTTTTTTCCTTTGGTATCAGGTATCCTTGAATTCATCAGTGTAGCAGTGGGACTGGTCAGCATAAGAGGTGTAGACAGTGGCCTTTACCTTGGAATGAATGAGAAGGGAGAACTCTATGGCTCTGTAAGTATTACTTTCATGTCAGCTTCTACATGTTGAGATTTTGATTCATTTGTTAGCACTATGCAAGCGCTGAAAATTGGTGATCTGAACAAATATGAAATGGTGACTTGCTGACATCCTGCTTGCGCTTAAACCAGACCATATAGTTTAGAAACTGAGGTGAAGGTAGCTTTCTTTAGTGCGATGCATCATACCCACAAAATGAAAACAATGTTTCTTTTGTTGTGACTAGTCCTGTCCGCCTGCTTACATTCTAAAGTAACATAACACAAAGAACCCATGTGGGTCTTATCTCTAGAGTGCTAGACTCCCCATGACAGAAATCTACTCAGTAAATTACTGTGGGTCAATTGAATTTTAGTTGAATAAGTAGTGGCTTCTTAGCTAGTGTGTTATATAATGTGTTTAAATCCAAATTTGGATATGTGCATGTCCAGTTTTTAGAAGAATAAAGGAGAAGTTAAGCTTCTAGACTCCGTGTCAGGTCTATATATTCCTCTTGGATTTGTTTTGTTAACAGGCAGGCTTTGTTAATAAGCCGAAAACATTAAGACATCTTGCTTATCATTTTCTTTCATAAGTGTGCTCTCATATATAATAATACCTTGACTTATTTTTCTCTGCTCTTATTTTGTGTAGGAGAAACTAACTTCTGAGTGCATCTTCAGGGAACAGTTTGAAGAAAACTGGTACAACACTTACTCCTCCAACGTGTACAAACATGGAGATTCTGGGCGGCGATACTTTGTAGCACTTAACAAAGATGGTACTCCCAGAGATGGAGCAAGGTCCAAAAGACACCAGAAGTTCACACATTTCCTGCCCAGACCTGTGGATCCTGAAAGAGTTCCAGAACTGTATAAAGATGTGCTAGGATACAGCTGAGGAGAGAGGGACATTTGGAAAGAAAATCAAACCAGTGCTATTTCATCTTGCCTGTTTTCACATGACAATACTGGCAAAAGAGATTTGAAGAAGCTACTCTGTGATGGACAGACCTCTGTTTTCCAAAGTTTGCATTTAGGAGACAAAGCCTTAAAACTGACTGCTGACCAGCCTCCTTCAAACTTGCTGAACTGTGTGGCAACCAGTAACAAGAGGGAAGTTGGAGTGCGACTTTCTTAATAATTAGAAACTCTTGATGATTTTGTCTGGACTACTGATGGCCCATACATTATCAAAAGAACCTACTTACATCATGTGGATCCAACAATGGCTGGAAGAAATAAAGATAAATAAACTGTAGTACAGTTAAAAAAGAAAAACAAAACACCAATAATCTTGAACTGCATACGAAGTTTTGGTGGCTTCGCTTCAGTGATGGACCTTAGATGGCAGTGCATCATAGAGCTGGAACTTTTCTTCTGGATGGACCTATTTATACAACTTCAGATAGCATATATTTATTTTATATATTTATTTATTACAGAGTTTATTTTTTACTGGGATATGAAGAGAATACAAGCCCCTAACCCCAATGAGAAATCATTTACAGTACCAATACTTTCACAATAGTGTCATGATACAGAAATGGCATTACACTGCATCTCAAACCTGAATATTCAGATTTCATTGTCTATTAGTTACAGATAAGGTTAAAGTTTGTGCTCATGCCATTGCTTTATGACTAACCTGGTTTTGGAAAGAGTATTCAGTTGGTTTTTTTGTTTTGTTTTTTTCCTGTGAAAGTGCCTCGCAGATCTGTATTGAATTCAAATGCACATTTGAAAAAGGGAATTAAAAATGATTTCACTTTATTTGGTTTACTGTCATTTTTGAGTCTCTTTGTGCACTGTATTGTGCACTGTATTGCAATAGTGCAAATCTGAAACAATAATGAAGTATTTTACAGTTACCTTAAAAGAACAAGTAGCAGTAGCTTTCAAGATCTTGATTTAGATCACATCGCACTTGTTTTCTCTTTCCTTTCTTTCTTACATCTATTTTTTTGCTAACTGACTGCTATTATCTTTACTAACGCACAAATGACTAGAATCCTCTGCATTGCACCAAGTTTTCTTGTAGGATTCTCATGACTGTATAAAATGTTTTAACTAAAGGTCAATAATTTTAAGGGGAAACAGTAAAATGATTGATATTGCTGAATGGATAACTTCATGTGAGTGAATGCTGTTTCTCTCTTGAGTACAGAGGACCTGAGGGGATTAATATTTTAACCTAATTTATGGCATAATCTGAATATCAGTTTATGTGTAAATACTGCCTATATGCAGACGAGCTCTAATTCTGTGCTAGTGATAGCTATAGAAGTATATCATGCTAATTTAATTTAGGACTGTTATGCAGACGAGCTCTAATTCTGTGCTAGTGATAGCTATAGAAGTATATCATGCTAATTTAATTTAGGACTGTTCTGAAGTACAAACGTCTTAGCATGCTGACTGACAAATGAATCTCCACTCTGTGTGAGACTACTGAGGACTGATGACAGACTCCGTATAATTTAGACCTAGCATTGCTGCAACCTGCTGTCAGATGGCTGGCACCTCCACAGGAAAGGTGGGTTCAGGAAAGGGACTGGAGGAAGGGCAGGCCTGGAGAGAGCAACCAGTGTGTGTTTTGCCAGTATTGCTCTCAGGTTTTGCCAGTATTGCTCTCAGGTTTCAGATGCCAGCCCTCCCGATGGGCTCCAGTTCAAAGTAACTTGTTTGAGTTCAGTATGGTTCAAGTACTGCATGTGCATCATTTATATAATTTTTTTATATATATATATATATATATATATATATATATATATAATATTATTATTATTATTGCCAATAATCATATATGTGATAATTATATATAATTACATAATCAAGGTATTAACAAAATACATTTTCCAGCATATAATGCACTTGATAAAGCCATTACAATACCAGAACCTCTTCCTTCCAGTCTGTAATGAGAAGTGGATGAGCATATGCACAAAATCCCTTTCTGCCAAATAGAAATAGATTGCAGATATGGAGAAAGATGTTTTAACACTTCATGCCTAATGGTGTGCAACTTAAGGGTAAAGGTTTTGCTAACATTTTCTGAAAAACAGGTAGTGGAATTTCTACTGAGTACATGTAGTTTACTAAAACACGGTTCTAATGTGCTTCAAGTAACCATAAAGTAATGATTTGAGGGTGATTCTGAATCTTGTTAATAACTGATCAGCAAGGAAGGACAAAAGGATATACTTTAAATAGCTAAAAAATTTCCTCTGCATGTTAAAAAAATACTCTATTCCATGTGAGTTGAGTAACAAATTCCTGGCTGCTGCTCAGGAGATAACCCCCATCATTTCTGGCAAATATGCTCAGTGTTCAACTCATACCAGTAAAATGCTTATCGTTCTTTAGATTAGTAATTTACTCTTACTGTAACTACCTCAAATGTACTTTGAAAATAGCAAAATTGTATTAATCATTATTTTTATTGCACATCTTTCTTCACAGATGTGATACAGTGTAGAGCAGTAATTGAGGATAGCTTAAAGTGGTGGACAATCTCCCACTGAAACTTCTGCATCCTGACAGTTAGACAGTATACCAATGAAGGAGGAAAGTGATATATGCTGGTCATTTATTTATCCCACTGCAACTTGAGATATATGCCAATAACCCTTGATCAAAATGTTATGTGGCAAGCACTGTGGTGAAAAATGGATTTATAAAACTTTCAGAGTACTGGAAGGCTGTCACAGCCTCCTTTTGCAGTACTGGCATATTTACGCTAAAGTAATATAATCCATTTTCCCATTTTGTTTGATTCAAGGGAACATGTTATATCTTGAAATAAGTCCCTGCATAACTGTCTGCCCTGTTTCTACTTTTCCATTTTTTCCAAGGAGGAGCAGTTCAAGGCAGTTGCATAGCTTATGTAGCAGGTGCAACTCCCCTTTCTGCTTCCCACTGGTTCTCATAGGGACTGCAAAAAAATTTGGTCTTTTGGTCTCAGAAGTAGCTGGGAATTGGGTGCTCCATGCCAGTTCTATGTTTCTTTATACATTTCAGGTTTTGCTGCTCTCTTTTCCAAGTTCCGTCAGAAATAATGTACTAGTCACATATAAAGTTTTCTGAAGTCCAGGCATGAGTTCCACTTATGAGCATATTTTAAGTGAATTTATTACTTTTATTAATCTTTGTATTCTTGGTCAGGATGCAGAATTTAGAATTTCTAACAGTCATTAAAACTTTTGTGGTAGTCATCCGGCTGGGGTAGAACCAAGTGCCACTGGAATTGGGTATTTTTTTTATCAGATGAGCTGATGTAACTGGAAAAAGTGCACTGCTTGTCTGAAAGCATGGCTATTTCATTGGTCTGAACCATTCATATTTGCATGGAGCACTTTGGTTGACTCTTTATCTTCATATTTTCTGCCATAAGCTTATGGGTACTACTTCTCACGCACAGATGTGACAGCTGGCTTCACCAATTTTATCTGAAAGTTCAAATCACTGTGATGGCCATGTGCTCTGCCAGCACTCCAGGTTTTTGCAGAATTTACTTTCTGACAGGTAAAAGCCATTTACCAGGAGCATTTTCACTGTAGCTTTTATTGACAACAATTTTCATTTCTTAATGTGCTTTGGCAAGTTATTTTCATAGTCATCCAATCTTCCTTCGGTACATTTCTGAAGATTCACTTAAGCATAGATCTTTAACAGAAACTGTATGAGCTACGGATGTGATTTTTTTTTTTAAACTAAAGTTTATGTAATCGTATTCGGACTTCTTTAGTTATGCCACTACCAGCCATTAGGTTTTCCATACTTTTTTTCTGGAGAGCCACGAACTAAATGGAGGTAAGACATTTCTAGTCACGATAAATATATTTTCATTATTGCCTTAACACAGTTAAGTACCAATTCAGCATTGCAGTAGGATGCCTTCTGGAAATCTCAGTTGCTCCTTTTGCTAAAAATTTGAGGAAAACTATTAACTTCACAGATGCAATAATTTGAAGCTTTTTTTTTTTTTTTTTTTTTTTTTTTTTTTTTTTTTTT